CAACCAGTTATGTTTGCGGTGAGTGTATGATAGCGTTGCACTATTGTCATGTTAAATATGTTGTGCTTTCATGACTTAATACCTATCATTAAAATGTTTACTTTAGGTGATGAAGCGCTGACTACACTTCCGATGACTACCACAACCACAACGACTACAGAATCTGCGCGAATATTTGGACGCAAAACAGGTAATACTATAGCAGTTATTACGAAAAACTTAAATCTACCAGAATAAATTTAAATAAAGCCTTTAAAAGTATCTCACGTTTAGATTAATTATATTAAAATTGTGTTCCTAAATGTGAATTATTAATTGAATATCATTAAATGCAAATTTCATATTTATTTTAACTAAATGAATTAAAAATCTTATGAATAACTCGTAATCTACTAGAATATTGAAGGTTAAAAAATAAAATAAAATAAATTGAGAACTTTTCTGCTTGATATGATGATTCATTAAGCTAATTGTTTTAATTAACATTATGTATTAAATTATACAGTATAACGAAGCAATGTCAATTCCCATTGAAAATTACATAGGATTTTCATATTCAAGCTTTTCACACAAAACTCTCAAACCGCTTCATAACTGACCAGTTTTTCCAAAATGCCTTTTTATGCCATAAACAGACAAAGTACTATATATAAAAAGGATCCAAACAAATTATAGATAGCAACAGAGACTCCATAAAATCATAAATTGATCGAAATATTCAAATTTAATAAATTGAATAATTTAATCACACAAATAAATAAATAATTAATAATTCATACAATAGATAGCAAGCAGTGTCCCATTAACCCGTTAATTAATATCAAAAACCCCTTTCGTATGGACCCTTTTGTGAGATTTAAATTTTTCAATGAGAAAATCCTAAGTTTTTAAATGAGCTTTAAACATTGATACAGAATAATTTATTTTAACTTTTTTAATACTTAAGATTTAAATTTGATTTCTGTTTAAAAGATGTTACAAATTGGGTTATAGACACATCGTTATATATGCAACAAAAAATTAACATTTATTACTAAGTTACCAGTACTTTATCTAACTTTTATAAAAAAAATATATCCACGGTACTGATTTGTATTTGTATGATATTAGCTTGCTTAATTGATGGCACGGAGTACAAAGTGGGAGACCCTATAGCTAGCGATGAGCACTGCAAACAGTGTTACTGTTCAACGGGAGGCATCAAAAAGTGCAAAAAGATTCAGTGCTCACCCGATGTGGACGGATGTGTTCCCGTCATTCCCGACGGACACTGTTGTCCCGTTGAATACAAGTGCAGTCAGTATTCGCATCATATTATTATTGCATTCCTGTGGCTAATCTAAAGTAATTTTTGCAATACTTAGACTCAACCCAACAGCCAACCACTGAAAGTGCGAAACGATTGCATTCAGAGATGAGTACAGAATCATCGCTAACCACACAAACGAATGTTGATTTTACACAATCCGTGACTGAATTAAATGAGATTTTGCGTAAAGAATTGAATGAAACGATTACAGAATTAAATCCAAACAAATCATATGTTGACGAAATTGTGACCGAAATTCCTGACAATTCTTCGAATATTAATATTCTGTTAAACGAAGATATTTCTGGTTTGGAAACAACGGTTTTGCCGGAAGTAAAGGATACAAAGACTGAGAGTCTGGTTATCAGTCAAACAGAGAATACATTAAATGTTGAAAAATTAAGAAGCGATGAGATTAGTGATGAAAATAATGGCAAAGAAGTTGTCATTAAACCCGATTCTTCAGAAGTTGATCCGAGAACCGCTCAGACAAACAGTGTTTTGTTTGAAACCACAGCAAATCCTATCATCGAAAGTAATGTCGATTTAAGCAAATCGGAGCCAAAATCAGATGTGAATACAGAGAGTGAGACAACGGTTGCCAAAGAAGTGGTCGAATCGAGTACTGAAATGTATTTAGCATTGAGTTCCGAACAAACTTTAGTGAATTCTTCGGTAATATCTGATACGACCCTTAAGTCAACGCAAACCCAGTCGTCAACGGAAGAGATAGTGGCGACAGAAACGACAACTTCTGTCATAAATATATCGTCGACTGAAAGGAGCGAAACCAAAGAAGCAGATAATGAGACCACTTATGGAACTGTCGGACAATTCTTGAAGGGAATCATTAATGCAATCGACAAACAGCTGCAGAAACGGATTGCCACTGAACCCAGAATTACCAGTAATAACACCAATGAAGTCCTGTTGAGTAAACAACTGAATGACGAGAAACCTCTGTCGCCAAGAAGCGAGTCAAAGACGGGTCCATCGCTGTCCTCTTCATTCCTGATCACCGATGACAACGAGACGTCTTATAAATCTGATTCTGGGGTCGAAATAATAACAGCGAAAACGGCTTTCTATGACTTCGACGAGAATCCGAGTCACTCTATACTCATAAACTTAACGCCCAGTAGTCTTAAGGTGAGCGCATCTCCGTTTGGGCATAATATGAATCCAATGAATCCAAACCCAATCAGTGACAAAAACTTTGACATATTGGGCCAAAACAATAGGGCAACCATTTATGGAAAGCCTGCCTCGAATTTCCCGCAGCATTATATGCAACCAAATAACGACTGGAAAGTTATTAATCAAGACTTTCCTCGACGACCGGCCTTTGAAGAGCCCTCAGAGCCCATGAGACCAATTGAATCGCTTTATTATAACCACAATAATAACGATGACATTAGAAGACACGATACGGACGAGACTATTGACCAAAACAGTCCTGATTTCGACAAAAAGCCGAGACTCGAGTTCGAGAATCCAAACCGTATGAAAATCATTCCCTTCAAGATTAACGATGCCGTCGGTGGAGGTGCTCAGCATAAGAAGAAAAACGGATCCTTTCTCATAAGGCTGTCGCCGCCCAACAAGAATCCAATGACACCCGATTCCACGCCAAAATCAACTCAACAAGGTACTATATTTTAATATACATGCTAATGTCTTAATGTTTTACAAGTTAACACATATTTTTTGTATCAAATAAATAGTTTCGTGTTTTTATAACTCAAATGAATACCCGAACGGCGCGATGATCCCGAAGGCCGACCCCTGCACTCTCTGTCGATGCTTTTATGGCCGAGAGTTGTGTCAGCAACAGAAATGCCCGGCCCCTCCTGAAAAGGACTGCGTGCCCGAGAAAATGAACGGTTATTGCTGTCCTCGTTATATATGCCGTGAGTTTATATAATTTTAAATGAAAACTTTTGAGTACTTTTATATCTTTACGTTATTTTAAACTTCTTTTTTTTATTCAATACAGGAATTACAGAGGACTCTAAAATACCGCAAAACTTGCCGACAGGCGATGGGATAATACAACCAATGCCTGAAATATCCAGCTCTTCGCCCATAAGAAAAGGGCCACAATTTTCGGACCTTTCGGCAGAGCTTCTTAATATTCTCAAAATAAATAACATGTCTATCGATGGCAATAATAATGAGAACCCCAGCCCTCCAATGAATCCTCAAACCGACGATAAAAATATCAACGAAGACAACGAGAAACCCGTTTCAGTTGCGCCCGAAGTATCTATAGTTGTGCCCCAAACTCCCGGTCCCAACCGATTCCCTCCTCACCCCATAGAACCGACGCCTAAACCATTCCAAAGAATTTCCGGATTCAATAAAAAGCAAACCGAAAATCGCGTCCATTTCCCGTCAGAAAGTGACAAGAATTCTGTGGTTTCGCAGCCAATACTGTCCGACTCTATCAGCCCTTCCCAACCATTGAACCGACCGCTCAAACCAATGGTCACGAATCCACTGCACACCCAATATCACAGTACCAATAAATTCAGACTAAAGCCGGCGCCCACATCCACCCAACCACTTGGCGCTCAGTTACCCCAATTTGGAGGCGCCCAGAATCCTAACCTAAGACTCCCACCTTTCCTTCTGCCTAATCCTAATGCGCCAAACATTCAACCGATTAATAATATTAGACACAAAATAAATACTGTATCCGCGCCTCATGTGGAGATCAAACACGAGGCATCAAATCCGACCATTGCTTCCGTACCAATAAGTGTTGAAAACAATGCCAATAATCATCAAAATGAGCCTAAAGTGGAGTCAAGCACTCGATCTGTCATTCAGTCCACAACCGCATCGGTAATGAGAAATCAATTGAGATTTAAAATAATAAACTAATTGTTTCTCTTATAGTCTGAACCTAACCGTCCGGTGTCCACAACCGTAAAGCCATCACTGAATACAATAAAAACACAATCAACTGATGTATCAGTTGTCAAAACTTCATCCACTTCTACCACCACATCAAAGAGTGTATTAAAAGAGGACAATAGTAGTAAAAATCAGGGGTCTTGGGATATATTCCGGGTTTCGGGTATGAAATGCTTGATTGAAATGAATTTTAAAAATATGTTAACAATTGGTTTGTCCATTAATAGGTTGTAATATATACGGAATTATGTATCAAATCGATACACCAATCGATCGCTTGAGTACACCGTGCAAGAAGTGCACCTGTACGGCACAGGGAGTCAATTGCAGCGACACTTGTTGAGCACATACTCGCGATTAAAGCATAAATTAGATACAGTATTTCAATCACTTCCTAAACGTGTGTTATTTACAATTATTTTTGCCTCCAATGGGAAACTGGTTTAAGAATTGGCTGATTAGACCTAATAATGAAGATTTTTGTGAATAATATTCAATATACAGAATAACGCATAGAATTCTCATATTTATTGAGTTCTGATCATCGCATCGACTATTTATTTCCTACACAAACAAGCATTCAATAAATCATTTTCAAGTGTTTTGTCTTTTTATTGTAAATATTTATTTTGAAATAAAAATATTTTTAAATAATCGTCAGTTTCATGATTGAATATGTGGTCGACATAAATATATCTCAATTGCAATGGGGTTTTCAATGAATAATATTAAATACACAGAATTTCTAAAAGTACAGTAAATATAAGATAAAATTTTTAAAATGATTTTTAAATTATGAAAAGAAGTGATAAAATCTTTACGACTCCGATAAGAGTCTTAATATTGAAACAAATGACAACATGTTTACGACAATTGAGTTCAATATTTTGCTGCGTTTATGAAGTTTTGTTTTTGAAAGTCAAACAAATGGTTTTAAAAAAAGAGTAAAAATAATGTTAAATATATCTAAATGTCAAACGAAATGTACAAAAAAATGTATGCTTTGGGCCGTCAAATGAATTTTCTATATATTATTTACATTCAGCGCTGAATTTCTACGCCTTTCAGACGTGTTGTGTGTCGTCTTCAACGAAGTCTTGCGCCTCATCTTTGGAGACCACTTCGATGTGACTAATCTGTGGACCAAACAAACCAATCATTAGTTGGCATTCATTCAAAAAGTGCACTCAAATCAACAAATCAATGATAATTTACTCTATTTCTGAACTTCACGCCGTAAAACTTGTCGGCCGTTTCCAGGAGTTCCGGTCTGAATGTAGTGGTAATGAATTGGGCGTCTTTGCAGAGCTCGTGAATCATGTCTAAAGTATGGATCAATCAGACAATGAGTTCACGCATTGTATTCACAACCACTCAATTAAGTGTACAATACCTGCGACGGCTTTCCTGTGTTGCGGATCTAACGCCTGATCGATCTCATCGAACAGGTAGAAAGGAGCAGGGTCGCACTTCTGGATGGCGAATATGAACGCCAGCGCCACCAACGACTTCTGGCCACCGGAGAGCTGTTGCATGTCCTTCATCTCGGCGTTGACGCCCGTGAATGAGACTCTGATACTAACGCCGCTGAAGTTGTCGAAAGTGGGCGGACCCGAGTTGTTCTGAGATTGCGACTCGTGATGGGACACGTCCTCCGTCTTCATGTCCAGGTGGGCCCTCCCGGACGGCACCAGACGTTTGAACACTTCGCCGAAGAACATCGACACCTGTCTGAACGTCACTTGTATTGCTTCGTACTTTCGCTGCTCGAGCGCCGTCATGAGGTCCACTATAGACCGGTGCCCGGCGTCCAAATCGGCCTTCCGTTGCAACAGCTTCTCCTTCTTCTCGGAGAAGTCCAGGTACTGATCCAACGCCTTCTTATTCACGTGACTATACTTCTGGAGCTCTTGATTGCATTGCTGCAGCTTCTTGTAGAGCTGCTTAAGACCCAAATTGGCGTATTTGGTCTCCGCGTCGCCCGGAAGTGTTCCCAATTCCCGAATCTTTCGCATACACTCCTCGGTCTTCTTGCTGAGCACCGACTGCTTGGACGTCATCTTCTCCAAGTCCTTCGAGTCCTCGTTAATGCGTTCAATGGTATCCCTTTCGTCGCTCTTCTTCTTCTCCAACTCGATCTGAAGCTCTCTTTGCTTTTTGGTCATCGACTCGAGGCTCTCGTCCAACGTCTTGATCTGTTCGTTCACGTCGTCGATGCGACCGCCGATGACAGTCATCTCCTGGCGCTCGCTCTCCAGCTTCTGCTTGCGGTCCTCGACGGAGATCTCTTGGAGCGCGGCCTCCAACTCGTCCTTACGGCGACACAAGTTGTTGTTCAACAGGTTCTCCAACTTATTCTTCTGGGCCTCCAAATGCATCCGTCGACTGAACGCCTCCTTGTTCTTCGTCGTCAGTTGTCTGATCTCGTCGTTCAGTCGGTCCACCTCTTGCTGGTCGTTGACCGACAGGTGCGTCAGTAAGTCCTGTTGCAACTCATTCCGCAGCGACTCCTCCAGCGATTCCATCGAATTCAGACTCGACTCGTGACTCACGGAACTCCTCTCCTTCGGCTGTCGCGACCTCTCGATGGTCGACAACTCGTCCTTCAAGAGTCGGATATCGGTCTTCATTTTGTCGAAAGTGTCTTTGTTTTTGCTGTTCTTCGTCTCCGCCCTCTGCATTTCTCCCACGATCTGATTGATCTGCGACTCCACTTCGTTCAGCTTCTGGTGGTGTCCGTCCAACAGCTGCTTCTGTTCCGATATTTCCGTCATCAGCGACGAGTGAGTCTTGTGGAGCTCCAGCCGCGAGCGCCGGGAGTCAAAGTAGCCGCCAGTGAGTGAGCCCTTGTGCGACACCTGATCGCCGTCCAGCGTAATGCAGTCCAAGTGCGAGGTTCGTGCCAAAGAAGTGGCCACTTCTAGGGACCGACAGATCAGCGTTTTGCCAAATATGAAGCGCATAACGATCTCGTGTTTGTTCTCATATGTGAGTCGACTGATCATCGGAATGGCGTCCTATGGGTGCGAAACAAACACATTAATCCTCGTTCACAACACTACAAACCGCTTCATAAACACTGCAATGATATGAGACCTGAGTTTCCGGGTATGCGATCTCCTTGGAGAAGAGCCGGTTGATGGGCATGAAAGTGACTTCACCCGGCAGTTTCATCCGGTTCATCTCCTGCAGTATTCTTGTGCCCACTTTGTCGTTCTCGACGATATGGTGGAACAGTTTGTTGCCGGCCGTCATCTCGACCGCTGTGTAGAACTCCTTCCCGCAGTCGAAGTTCTCGATAAGCATTCCGTAATAGTTTTTGGCCACAGCCTCGTCCCGGCCGCCCTTCTCCCGTAACAGTTGCAACACTTTGCGCACCGAATCCCTGCCGTTCAGAATCGTCTTACCGACCATTGAGCGCAAGAGTTGGTCTTTTTTGGCCTTTTCCTCGATCAACATATTGTGGTTTTGTTGGAT